CAGCAAACACACAGCCTGGTTTGGAAATCTCAGGTCCCTTTCTGGCTGTCTTAGAACACACCCATGGGATCGGCTTAGTGGGCAATATTCCAGCATCCGCATAGCAAGGAATGAAGAGCTAAAACCCAGTGACCACCAAAGTGACTTCCGTGGGATGTGAGCACACATTAGCCAAGAAAAGCTCCTATATTTTGAAAATAGCCCCAACTGCCAAGTGTAATAAGCTGTCTTCTGCCCCCAGAGAGAACAGATTCACTTCATCCTGAGGATACCAAAGTGACCCAAATGAATCACTTATCAGGACTTTTCAGTGATTCATGCTGTGTAATCGCTCTACCGATCTTGAGGGAAGTTTGAGTTAATTTTGACATCAAACTCGGTTTCCCACACTATGCTCCAGCGCTTCCCTGGGAACCTGGTGCTTAAGCAGCGGGCCGAGGCATTGCCTGAGATCCTTTCAAGCCCTTCAGGCATCTGTCCTGCAAATTCCTTGTTACTTGAAAAGTATACACAGGAGAGAGCCACAATTTCATTTTGAGTCGGACTCTTTCTGCGAACACTTCCTCTGGGACCCTTCCGTGACGCACGTCTAATTGACAGCCTGCCGTCCCACTTAAATATCGAGGTTACCTTGTTAGCTCAGTGCTGCCAATGGCTGTCGCTTTTCTTTCCAGAACCTCTCTCGAGGAGACCTGCTCATGCGCCTGCTGGAATGCGACACGATCATTTACAACATCACCGAGAGCCCGAAGCAAGCGGAGGAAGCCATCTGGGCTGTCTCTGGTCAGTGGGGTGCACTCTGTGATCTCCAGAGACAGTTTCTTTAATCGACAGTTTTCTTCTTTTGCCACACTGTGGGTGGAACCCAGGGCCTCATGCGAGCTAGGCAAAGCCACTGACTCTTCACAATTGTAAAGTGCACTGTTTGTGTGCAGTGGTGTGACTTCAAGACCTGAGGGATTCCCTCTAGAAGTAAGAATTTGATTCATTTTAAGAAGTTCCCTGCCTGCAGAGGTCATGGAGGGAGGCTAAAGAAAGCTGGCATTTTGAAAGCAGCTTGAAGAATGTGGTGAACTCGCAGGACCTCCGGTCTAAGAGAACCGGGTAGTGCTTAGCAATGGGTTCTTTTTGTGATTTATTTCTTCTTAACTCTGGAGCAAAGGAGAAAGTGGGTCAACTTATTTGAATAATTATTCTAGCCTGGGACAGCCAAAAAAGACAAACAGCAATTTACACTTCAGTGACTTTGATTTTCAGTTTTGTTTTGTTTTGTTTTGTTTTGTTTTGTTTTAGACGGATTAGATTGGGGTCCACAAACATTTTTTGTGACAAGGGACAAAGTTCATAAATATCTTTGCATTGTGAACCATCACACTACCATTAAGGCAGGAGCCTGGCCATGAATAACAGAGATGGATAGGCTGGGTTCTTGTGAATTTTTATTCACAAAAGCAGACCCTTGAATTACATGTACAGCAAAATTCTATTTTGGCTTTAATTCAAAAGAAATAGAACAGGGCTGGGGGAAACAGCTGTCCAAGTGCCTGTCTGGACCCAGGTTTGATTGCCTGCACCACATGCTGTACTGGCCCTGCCCCTGGCACACCGCTCTGGCCTCCAGAGCCAGGCGTGGTGGCGCACACCTGTAATCCCAGTGCTGGGGAGGCTGAAAACAGGAGGATCACCATGAGTCTGAGCTGTGTAGCAAGACCCTGTACCAAATATATAAAAATTTAAAAAAGAAAGAAAAAAAGGAAATGGAACAGACCCTCACTGCTTGCACCAGATTCAGATAAAGATACGAGAGCACTATCTGCATGTGCAGGTTCTGCAGACACTTGGGCAAATTGATTTCTGTTGACACAAAGTAATGACTCTGCTTTAAAGGAAATTTTAAAACAATAGTTTGGTCTGAGTCAAAAATGAGTGAACGTGGCCCAAGAATAGAGATTCCAGTCATCCTCCGGGATGTGTTTCACAGTGGAAGAGAGTCTGGGAGATCCAGTCACACAAGGAAGGAAAGGGCAAATCATTTACCAATCACAGGGTAAGCCCATCAGATCCTTTTGTCTTAGCTTTGAAGCTGATAGAGACTAGAGGTCTGACAAGCTTAGAGACACGCTCTGGGAAGCTTATCTATTCATTGTAAGAGTGTCACACCTGTACCCCAGCACTCCTGAGGCTGAGGCAGGAGGATCATAGTGAGTTCAAGGCTAACCTGGGCTCCATAGAGAGACCAGACCCTGTCTAAGAGAGAGACAGAGACAGAGACAGAATATTAGGTTACACACAACAGTTAAAGGAATTGGCAGTTAAAGGGTTGATAAGAGCAGAGTCCAAGATAATGTTGGGTCCCAACATACGTGGATTTCATCTCTCCACGGCCTACTTCTGCAGTATGTTCACTGTAGCTGTCACTTCAGAGGCCTATTCTCATTCCTGAGAGCTCTGCCCCTCTGTTCCATTCCACAAGACACAGATCATAACGCGCTGCGTCATCTCTTGCAGCAGAATGTGGCTGAAGACTGCTTTCTGCATTTGTTCCTTGCCTGAAACAAGGATCCTAGTGGATGACGTCCAATCACACCACCTAAAATAATAACTGGCCCCTCTATTTAATAAGCACTATTTGTTCCAGGTTGTGAAAATTGATTTTTTTTTTTACTACATGCTTGCAACTTTGTTTAAATTTTTAATATTTTTTTCTGAAATTCCACCTAGACATGTTTTGAAAATTGAAAAGCACAGCAGGCCGTGAAGAGCAGCAATTGCTGTGCCTTGGCCTCATGGAACCCAGCCTTCGCACAATGTGTGGAGATGCGTGCAAAGCCCAGGACCTAGCTGAGTGGTCACAGGCTCACCCAGCATGGATGGGGCCCTGGGGCATGTTCCCAACCCTTAGGTGAATGCCTGTGATCCCAGCACTCTGGAGGCTGAAGCATGAAGGTTGCCATGAGTTCAAGGACAGCCTGGCCACACAGTGAAATGCTGTCTCAAAAAAGCAAAAACAAACAAGCAAAAACACTTTTTTTTTTTTTTTTTTTGCGCTGGGATTATAGGTGCGCACCACCACTCCCAATCTCAATTGCCATCTCAGTGCTCCCTGGGGGCGGGGCAGGCAAGGCATGCTGGACATCAAATCCCAGTCCCTACGTCTGCCTCAGCAGGTGCTTTAATTCACTGTGCTACCTGGCCAGCCCTCAAAAAGACTTTAGACTGTGGATCTCAGACACGGACCTTTATTAACCTACCCCAGGGCTTCTTAAGAAAGTAAATATTTCTGCCACTTGGAAGTTTCGTTTCCTTCCACGACCTTTCATTGTGGAGTATGTTTAACTGCTATCTTCTTCCTGGAACAAAGAGCTTTAGATAATGAAGAACATTTCGCCAGGAGTGGTGGCACACAGCCTGTAGTCCCAGCACTTGGGAGGCTGAGGCAGGAGGATCATGTTAATTTTAAGACCAGCCTGGGCTACAAAGTGAGGTCAAGTCTAGCTTGAACTGCTTGGTGAGAACCTGCCTGGAAGAGGAGAGAGAGAGAGAGAGAGAGAGAGAGAGAGAGAGAGAGAGAGAGAGAGAAACACTTTACTCCTTCATTTGAAGGAAAGTTGACTAAATTGCATTTAGGGTTTTGGCTTTTTTGTTATGTTATTGTTGACCTGTTTTGTTTTTGTTTTTGTGGAACTAGGGATAGAACCCAGTTGCGCTGCACTACGTCCCCAGCCCTTTCTATTTTTATTTTTTAAATTTTAGACAAGGTCTCATGAAAACGCTGGACTGCCTAGGCTGGGATTGAACATGTAATTCTCCTGCCTCAGCCTCCAAAGGTCAGCCTGGCCACATAGTGAAATGCTGTCTCAAAAAAGCAAAAACAAACAAGCAAAGACACTTTTTTTGCGCTGGGATTACAGGTGCCTGCAAAGCCCAGGACCTAGCTGGGCTGTTGTCTTAGCTTTCAAGCTGATCGAGACTAGAGGTCTGACAAGCTTAGAGACATGCTCTGGGAAGCTTCTCTATTCATTTTAAGAGTGTCACACCTGTACCCCAGCACTCCTGAGCGCTCAGGCTTCTTTTCGTTTCCTTACAACCGATCTGGTGGGGGCGGGGCAGCACTGGGGCTTGAACGTAATACCTCGCACAGAGCTACATCCCCAGCCCTTTCTGTGGGTTTTTGATTTTTACTCTGAGACAGGGTCTCCCTAAGTGGCTAAGTTGCCCAGGCTGGACTCAAACTTAATCCTCCTGTGTCAGCCTCGTAGGGTGCTGGGATTGTGGGTGTGTACCACATGGCCAGCGCATATTATTTTTAATGTTTTATTAAATTATTTTAAACTATGTTTAGATTCTCCTACTTTGGGAGGCTGAGATAGGAGGATTGCCAGGCATCTGAGAGCAGCCTCAGCTACATGGTGAGTTCAATGCCGGTCTGAACAGCATAACGAGACCCTGTGTCAAAAAAAAGCTGACCTTGCCTTTCAGATTTACTGAAAAGAGGGCAAGAGGACACAGGGGGAAGGATGAATTATTAGCAATCAGAAGAAGACATCTGCCCATAGGGATGGAGGGTGTGCTCCGGTCGTTTTGGTCCACCATGAATACCATAAAGCAAAAAGCATAACCTGGCTGGAGGAGCTGGACGCGTGTCAGGGCCTCACAGCACGGCCGATCCGGCCACAGCACAGGGCAGCAGACAGGTTGAAAGAGCAATATTAAACGGAACAGATGGTTTGATTAGAATCAAAATAGAAACTGGAATTGACATCAGAAGCGAGAGTCACAGTGTACAGGGGGCAGCGCTTTCAGACTACGCCGGTGGCAAACATACCCTTTACTGAATGAGGTCGCACGTTAGCTTCGATCCCTTTCTGGCTTATCAGACAGCAGGCAGACTATTTCAGCGGTTCACTTGCCAGATGGGTAGACCAGGTTCACCCATTAAATGGGGGCAACCCCGAGGGAGACAGCCACCCTTCTCGTCTGCATCTGTCCTGCCCACCAGCCCCTGCGAATGGATCAAAAGTGGGCACTTCTGCTGGGTTTGGCGGTGCATGCCTGGAACCCCAGCACTTGGGAGGCTGAGGCAAGAGATCACGGCAAGTTTGAGGCAGCCTGGGTAACCTAGCGAGATCCTGTCTCCGAAAAAAGGAGGCTGGGGCCGGCCAAATAGCTCAGCGGAGTAAAGTGCCTGCAAGCAGGCACAGGGGACATGGGTTAGATGCCCGGACCTACTGTGCTGGCCCAGCCTCCGGGGAGCGCTGAGATGGCAATTGAGACTGTGCGTGGCGGCGCGTTCCTGTAATCCCAGCTCTTGGGAGGCTGTAAACAGGCAGATCGCTATGAGTCTGATCTAGTAGAGAGACCCTGAACACCCTGTAGACCCTTCCCTAAAGTACAAAAAAAAAAAAAAAAAAAAAAAAAAAAAAAGGAGGCTGGTGGCATCCAGCTGACACTCTGTCCTCTGCCTTCCAGCGCTGAACGAAGAGGTCAAACGCTTTGGGAAGCGCAAGGTGTTTATTCTACTCTCCACCGTGATGACATGGGCGAGATCCAAGCCTCTGGACCCGGTAAGAAGCGCGGCCGCCCCTCGGTCCCCTGGGTCTCCTCCCCGCGGTGCCTTCGGATTGTCGGGAAGCAGGTCTGCTCCCCTGCCGGCGCCTGGCAGTCCCAGGACACAGCCGATGCTGTGGGACCTCCCCACCCCCACCCCAGTGCCCGGTCCAGAGAGGGGTTTTTATAATCATGTGTTCTTTAGTAGCCCACATGAGCAGCACATAATGTCTACGTTCTGCGGGGAAGTGCGTTACCTAACACACCTTCCCGCCCTTCATCCTGCCCCCTCCCCTCCTTCTCTCCACCGCCTTCCCTTTTGAGAAATACCCATCTCCCCACTTCCTGTTATTTTTTTTATTATTATTTTTCTCTTTATTTACAAGACAAACTGTGCTATATGTAAGCTTGTGTGTCTGATTCCTGTCACTTAGTTATGGTCTCAAGGTGCATCCTTTTGACTACACACACGCAGTTTATTTTTCTTGAGGGCAGAGTAGTACTCCACAGTGTGTAAACACCGCGCTTTCTTACTCACCCGTCCACTGATCGCCATAACTGTTTCCAAGGTGTAGCTACTGCAAGCCCTGCTACTATACACATCGACGACGTGCATGGGTCAGCGTAACAGCAGGGCTTGAACTCTTTCTGGAAGATTGCTAAGGAGAGAAATAAGTGGGTTGAGTGGAATTCTAGTTGTAGTTTTGTTGTTGTTGTTGTTGTTGTTGTTTGTTTTTTCTTTTGTTGTTCATTTGGTTTTGGTTTTTTTGAGACAGAGACTCGCTATGTAGCCCGGGCTGGCCTCAAGCTCTCAGCACTCCTTTTGCCTCAGCCTCCCAAGCGCTGGGACTACTGGCCAGCGCCACCACACCCAGCTCTAATGGTAGTGTTCTGAGACTCTCCACACTGACTTCATAGTGGTTGTGCTAGCGTATGCCGCCAGCACAGGATTCCTTCTTCCCCACAGCCTCATCAACATTTGTTATTATTTGATTTCTTGATGATACCCATTCTCTCTAAGGTAAAATGGAATCTCAGAGTTGTGTTAATTTGTATTTCTCTCGTGGCCAGAGATATTTGCAGACGGGGTAATTACAATCTCACTTTGTTACTCAGGCTGGCCTTGAACTCGTTGCAATCCTCCTGCCTCAGCCTCCTGAGAGCTGGGATTAAAAGCATGTGCACTCATACCAGGGTACGGCCAGAAGTACTATTTCTCCACATAGCTATTGGGCAGTTCTACTGCTTTTTCTAGGTTTCAGTGGAGCTCAGAGGTTCCTCTCCTAGTGATGTTGTGGCCTCCCGGTATGGTGACTGTGCTGCCCCGGGAGAACTCGGAGCACACGCGTGATCGGGTGCCGTGCACAGCGCGCTCTGGCTCCTAACCGACCTGCTGCGGCCCCCGAACCGGCCACGCTCTACCCTGCGGTATTTCAGAGCGCTCCGGGCTACCTGGTGGGCGCTCACTGCAAGCATGTGCTTCGCCTGCCCGCCCCCCACCCAGGAGCTGCCTCTGGGCCTCCCGCTCCCTGGCGTTCTCCCCAGAGATCCCTGTGCCGACCTGCGGCCCCTTGCGACCCCTGCGCCCCCCGTGCACAGCGCCCACTGCTGTCAGCGCCAGGCAGCGACACATCCTGGGATCAGCCAGGACCACGCAAGGGCCCGGGGTGGCTGCTGCGCGCCTGTCACTCCAGGGCGCCTTGGTGAGGGGCTGGACCCAGAACAAAATGATAAACTGAGCGCTGTGGCACTGGCCTGCAACCTCAACACAGGGAGGCTGAAGCAGGAAGATTGCCACAAGCTCAAGGCCAGCCTGGGCTACACAACGAGACCCAGTCTCGAAAGAGCTCTCGTTTCATGCACTTCCAGGTAAATGAAGCAGATGGTTGTTACAATCTGATACTACAGACCACAGACTGTGAAAAAAGTACATAAAATGAGTTCGCAGCCTCCTCCCACCGTCCATCTGCGCGGACAGCATGATGCACCCCGGGGAACCCCAGCTCCTGACCTCCCATGAGCCCGGCAGGGTTGCCATGCACAGGCAGGCCAGGCAAACCAGAGCCAGGAGCCAGGCAGGACGCCCAGGGCAGCCTGACTTGGAGACAGAACTGATTCTCCTGGCCACTTAGTTGTGATTTGTAGCTCAAAGTATCAGAATAGATGCAAAACAGCACACAAAGCAGCTCGGATATAAAAGGGTGACAATTATAGAAAGTTTTCATCTGTAGTAATTTTAATAAGCAGGAGAATCTTGATAGTTGAGTTTTGTTTTTCTGTGCCACCCATCTGGTTTTTTTTTTTTTTAATTTTTATTTATTTGTGTGTGTGTGTGTGTGTGTGGCCAGCTCAGCCCACCAGGGGGCGGGGCTGGCTGGCATGTGGTGCTGGGGGATTGAACTGCGGTCCCTGTGCTCTGCCAAGCTTGTTCCAAGTAGGTGCTTTAGACCACTGAGCCATCTCACCAGCCCTACCCATCTGGTTTTATTTAGTTACTATTAATTTTTATTTGGGTGGTACTGGGGATGGAACCCAAGGCCTTTTCACTAAGCTACATCCCTGGCCCATTTTAAAAAATGTGTTTATTTTATTTTATTTTTTATTTTGAGAGAGGGTCTCACTGAGTCACAGGGTTGCTTGTGCTGGGATTGAATTCGCAGTGTTCCTGCCTTAGCCCCCCAGAGTGCCAGGATTCTAGCAGGCCGCTGCTGTGGTCCAAAGCGGGTTGGTGTCTCACCAAGTGAAAGAACAAACTCACTGACAAAGGAGGGCATTCAGCGGAGTGCTTATGGGACGCATGCAAAAGGAGAAAGTTGCTATTAGTTGCAAGGGGACCTGAAAAGAGTCTCTAGAGTGGGCTTTCTGTCCGCGGTCTTTCGCATATCGGGGACAAGTCTCTGGCCGTAACAGGTCAAGGAAGGCCTTGCCTGTAGGGTTTAGGTATCGATGTCCATGCTGTTACATGAATGACGGAGGAACAGCACACGGCGGTCATGTACTGATCACTCGATGTCTGGCCGGGTAGGACTCTTGCTGCCTATCTAGGGAACCAAAGCCCAAGGCAACAGGGGGACAGCAGCGGCAGCCATTCCCACCCCAGCTGCAGTGGTCGCCCCCTTCCCAGCAGCATCAGTCAGCCCGCCCCAGCAGCAGTGGTCACTCGGTCACTCCCCACGTTCGCCTTACCATTCCCCAGTGGGGTAAGCTTCAGATGAGTCCTCACCCTGCCAGCACGGCTGCTGCTGACTTCTGCAGCTGATCGGCCTGCCCCACCCGGGCCCAGGTCGACTCCTTAGTGGCTGCCTGGTTCCAGGCTCCCTGCCCACAGCCCCCACATCCTGGCTCCTATGTGGATGAGTAAGGACAGGAAACCTGGAGATGATCCAGATTCAGACAAACCACTCAGGACAGGAAAGACTAGTGGACAATCACTGTCACAAATGATGCCCGGGGAGGGAAAGAGGCCAGCTTGTGACACTCTTGGGGCCCAAGTACTGTGGTGATTAGAAAGAGGTCCCCAGGCAGCAAGTGACGCACTTGCCTGACGCCATGGCAACTTGTGGGTGAAGGATCCCCAGAGCCCACTGTATCCCAACCAGGAATCTGGAGTGACAGCTCAGAATTCCCTGCCCAGCCCAGAGAGCAGGCTCGCCCTGCTCCCTGGGGAGAACATGTGGCCCACAAAATGTGAGGTCACCTTGTAAAGTGTGACTGTTCCCACTGTAGCCATGGGGACCGAGGGGGCAAATCCTGGAGAGGGGGTGAGGCAGAGCAGTCGCAGGCACAGGAGCGCTGTGGGCCGGCTGCTACCGTGGGGTGCTAGCTGGGGCCATCAGGCCTGCTCACCCCCGAGCCAAAGCTGATTCCGTGACAGTGGAGTTGCCAGGGCCGGCAAATGAAAACACACCTGAGAAGGCCGGGCTCAGGCCGCAGGCCTGTTGTCCCAGTTCTCGGGAGGTGATGCAGGTTGCTTAGTGAGACCCCACCTCAGAATGAAACTGGAAGGGGACCATGTGTAGCTGGGGCAGGCACCTGCACAAGTCCCACAGCAACAAAGGAGCAGGGACACTCGGTTCCAGATAAGTACCCTTTTGTGCATGAATGATGCAGCCTTAAATAACTCTTCATTTGTTTATTTGAATTCAGATTTAACTGGGGGTCCTGCATCCTATAGAACAACACAACTTGTTTGGATTTGCTTCGATTTGGTTTGGTTCGGTGTTTTGAGACAGAGTCTTGCTTGGCAGTCCAGGCCTCTCTCGGACTTGCTCTGTGTGCCCGGGCTGGCTTCAAGCTCCTGCCACCTCAGCTTTTCCATGCTGGGCTTACAAATGCATGCCACAGACCCAGCCTATGACAGCATGACCCCCGCCACAGTTCAGACACAGAGCACCAGGGTGGCATGTTCCAGGCCTGAGTTCCATCTCCAGCATCCCAAAAATGAATATATAAAATTAAAAAGAACAGCTAACGATACAACACGTATTCATCGAGTAGCCGTGGGCACAGAACTGACGTGGACTAACCTGATCTGCCCTCCAGAACAACCCTGCCATTCTCCCGGGTAGCCCTATCATTTCAGCCGCTCGGCCTCTCTTTCATATGTCAGTGGCTGGCTAATCCATCACCCGAAATGGCCCGCAAACCCATTTAGCTCTCCTTGTATCCATGGCAACTTCATGGCCCACACTTCAGCCCTTAGCTTCGCGGACTGCTTAAAACCTTCCACCTGGTCCGTTCTCCACGGCACAGCTGAGCGATCTTCGCAATCCAGGTTGTGTTGGCGTCAAGCCTGAAGTTTGCACAGCCTCCTCTCCAGCTCGGAATAGTCTGCACTCCCAGTGTGGGGCACGACGGGGATGACCTGCCCGCTGCCCGCTGTCCTCCCCTGGGGCTGCCTTCGTGGAGGTGACAGATGTGTGAGGGTACGTTCCCTCCCGGCTCCCCTTCCTGTGTCTTCTTCTGTCTCTTGGATTAACTCCTTGTACAGTCTGGGCTCAGGTTCTGTAGACTGACATTTAACTTAGTTTCATGTGCTGTGATCCAAAGGTTCCATAAAGAACACTATACTTTTAAAATGTAAATTAGGGCCAAGGAGATAGCTCGGTGGCCTAAGCATCTGCCTGGCAAGCACAAGGTCCTGAGTTTGATCCCTGGTACCATTTAAAAAAAAAAAAATTCTAAAAGGTAAATTAATTTTATTTTTGGGTCTTTTTTTTTTTTTTTTTTAAGACAAGCTATCTCCCTACATAGCCCAGGCTGGCCTTGCACTCGTGGTGAGCTGCCTCAGCTTTCTGAGTGCAGGGATTATAGCATGCATAGGCATGCACCACCACACCTGACTATACACAACACTATAACACTATGTTTTCAAAGCCCTGCTCTAACGAGGATTTCTAAATGGTCATTCAAGGATGTGGAGTTCATTTGTTTCCTGCTGCAGCTGCCTTTCTCTGTGGACCTTCCCAGGATGAGGAGTTGTAGAGAGGCTGAACACGATGTACTTCCCAGTAGATTGTCAGAAATAGAGCAGTCTTCATGCCTCGCTGGGTGTGGTAACGCACACCCGTGATCCCAGCACTGGGAGGCCGAGGCAGGAGGATTGCCGCCAGTTCAAGGCCAGCCTGGGCCATGTATTGAATCCAAGGCCTGAACTACGTAGCAAGACTGTCTCAAAAACAAAACAAACAAGATTACACAGACTCACAGCGCCCGCTTCAGTTCGTGGGTGCTGTGCGCAGTGATCTATGAGGGTAACAAGTCTCCACCAGCCAGCGCCGGCTCTTAGCATTTCCGCGTGGCGGGAGTATTTGAAACCCTGTGGGCTGCCGATTAGAAATAACGCAGCTCACTGTCCGCAGCCAAAACCGCCGCCTGCCAGGCAGTGCTCAGGGGCTTCCTGGGAGCCCGCGCCCCATCGCTGCCCCTTCTGTCTTACAGGAGGACACCGAGGTCCCATTCACGGAAGAGGACTACCGAAGAAGGAAGAATCACCCAAATTTTCTGGACCACATAAATGCTGAGAAAACAGTCCTCAAATGTGGAAAAAATGTGAGTGGGGGTCCCAGAACACTCCGGGGAGGGGGCTCTTCTGAGGCTGCGCACTTTGGCCGGCCCGCTGTGGTCTCGTTCTGCTGGTCAAGGTGATAAATCATTCCCTGGGTCTGAGGGCTCCATGCCTGGCACAGAATGCACTGGCGTCTCGGGCCAGGAGTGCTGGTGCTCGTCTGCATCCTGGCTTTCAGGAGGCTGAGGCAGGAAGGTTACTACAAGCTTGAGGCCAGCCTGGGCTCTATAGCCTGAACTATATACTGAGAACCTGGCTCAGCAAACCAAAATAATAATAATAATAATTATTATTAATAATAAAGATTTAAAGGCCTCTTTGTTTAGTTTCCTAGAAACTTGCCACTGCAGGTCACTGAGCTGTGTCCCTAGCCCTCCATGCGCTGTCCTTTGGGTCCTGGCACAGGCTCTGTCCCGCCCCATGCAGCGGGGGCTCGCTGTGTCTGGCTGGATACATCCAGCCCTCTGAGCTTCTCGGGACAAGGACAGTGTTGTCCCTGGACAATGCCCGCGTTGTAGGGAGCAGCCACCACCACGAGCCGCAGCTGCACCGCGCCGCCAGGCACCAAGCCGCCTGTGGATTCCATTCTTAGGATTTTCCTGGCTCCGGAGCTCCACCAAGTCCAGTTTCTCTTGCCGCGTCTGCGGTGACAGCTCCATCCAGAGCTGAGACCCTAGTGTGGACAGTTATAGCACCCTAAGCTCGGGTCCAGCAGCACTGATCATTTTGACCGACAGCCACTTTGCAATGTTCAAGTTTCTCTCTACCCAAGAGGATGACGGGAATTGCCCGGGTCATGAATTAGTAACAGCTGGGAAAACAAGGAGGCCTCACCTACCTGCGTGCTAGCAATGTTTTATTTATTGTAGATCGTGTAACTCTCCAGGATCTCATGAATAACTTTTAGATTTATGAAAAGCACTGGGCGTGGTGGCACACAGACAGCTATAATCCCAGCACTCAGGAGACTGAAGCAGGAAGATTGCTGCAAGTTCAAGACTAAGTTGAGCTATATAAGGAGTTCGAGGCCAGCCTGCGCTACACAGCAAGACCTTGTCTCAAAAAAAATAAAAAATTCTGTGATGTACTGCTAGCATCATCCCCATTTTGCCCATATACGTTTACATGGAACCCCCAAACCTCCAAAGGCCCGGTTAGATTTTTCCATTAGTGAAAGACCAACTGTAAATGATGTACAATAATAGCTCTACGGTGACACCTAGTGGTCACTGAGGTTATTACAGCAGGAACTTTGTCCTCAAATTATGAGAGTCTATAAAATACAGGTGCAAACAAGAGAGTTAGGAATTCTGGATATATTTCCATCCATTAATCACCTCATCCAGCTCACTAAACTTTGGGGTCATGTCTGAGACCTAGCCACAAGGATTAGGTCTCCCAGTAGAGCTCTACCACTGAGCTACACGCAGCCCACAACTCCTAGGGTGAAAATAAATAAAATAAATGGACTAAATTAGATGGCCTAAATTTATTACTATTTTGAATTCAATAATTATTTTGTTAAAGTACTCGATATGTTGAAGCTGGGTGTGGTGGTGCATGCCTGTAATCCCAGCACTCTGAGGAAGGAGGATTTCTGTGAGTTCGAGGCCAGCCTGAACTACTTACTGTACATAGCAAGACTCTGTCTCAATAAATAAGTAAAGAAGACAACATTTTTCCACTTTAGATTATCACTCACTCACATCTTTTCTGTGTGTCATCACACATTTTCAACCAGTGAATTAGACACAGTGAACAAATCATGATGGGGGCAGGGTCTTGCCGTGTAGCCCAGGCTGGCCTTGAACTCACAGAAAGGCTGCCTCAGCCTACCAACTGCTGGGATCACAGGCACGTGCTGCCAGGTCCGGCCCCAGCACAATACTTTCTGATGCTCTTCCGACCTTTACATTATCTTGGCTCCACAGGACCTAACCCTGAAAGACACCCAGGCCTGGCGGGTTGGAATTGCAACTTCGTGTGTGTATTTCATTTATATGCTATCTAGAATCACTTGCCTTATGGCCTACTACCTCCTTGTAGGCAAGTACAGAATAGGTACTAAAATAAAAATATAGCCTTGATTAGACAAAAATATTCAACATGGGCATCCGCAGCTTTGCGTTCTTTGATGACATTAGCACATGGAGGAAAATTAGGGCAGGGATGTAGCTCAGTGGCACAGCTCCTGCCTGGCAAGCACAAGGTCTTGAGTTTGATCCCCAGTATGGTAAAAAAAAAAAAAAAAAAGACAGAAAACCAGATGTTTTACCCAGAACATGGTGCATGGCCCCAAGAGATTCAAATGTGGGTCAAAGAAAAAAGATTCACACGTGGGTCATGGTTTCACCAAAAGTGCAACAACTGGTCATCGGTCTCCTCTGCCCTGGCACAGCTCCTCGTGCGTCATGGAAGGAGCTGTGTTCAAGTTGCCGGCTGCAGGCCTGGGCCTCTGCACGGTCACCCTCGAGTCTTCCGTTCCACTTCTCTTCAAGGTCACTGGCTCCCCAGGCTGAGGACCCTGGCTGGGCATGGGCCCGGCTCTATACAAGCGGGCAGTGTGTCCCGAGGCAACTTTGCGCAGGCGCAGTCCCCTGGAGCTTGTCCAAATCCCAGCCTCAAACCAGAACCATGAAAAATCCGACTTTACTCATTTCACCCCAAACTCCTCCCTATAGAACATACAGGTCCCAGTGTAACCTATCATTGGACCTTCCATCAGCGATCCGAGAAAACCGCTTCGTGCCTGGCGGTTCATAAAGCTCTTTGGGTTTCTCTGCTTTGTTTACTTTTTTTTTTTTTTTTGGTTTTTGAGGTGGTGACTTGCTCTAGAAAATCCTCCTGATTCAGCCTCCTGAGCAGCTGGCATCACAGGTGCGTGGCACCAGGTGTGTGGCACCACAGGTGCGTGGCACCACAGGTGCGTGGCACCACAGGTGCGTGGAACCACGTGTGGCTTGATTTTTAAATCAAGCATTTAAAGGCACCTGGTTAGTGGTATGCTGTGGGGGCAGGCACAGAGGGACGATGACTCAGCCTACAGGTGTTATCTCCACTTTAAGCTTTTGGGCATTCCACAAAGGACGCCCTGAGTCCCACCTGGAGAGCCTGAGCTCTGTGCTGACCTTAAAAGGCAGATAAATTGGAGACAAAGTCTCCCAGCCCCTAAGCCATCCTGAAAATAAAGTAAACTTTCCAGGTCAAGTGAAACCCTCCCACTCAAGCCTGTTTCTGAGCTCACTTTGTGTACCTGTCACTCCCCCCAGTAAATGACAGACCCTGCGGAAGGACCTGTTTTATGTGTTTGTCTGTTAGGTTTGCTTTTTTGAGACAGGATCTCACTGTGTTGTTCAGGCTGGCCTTAAATATATTATGCAGCCCAGGCTGGCCTCGATCTCACAAGAATCATCCTGCCTCAGCCTCCCAAATGCTGGGGTTACAAGCATGTGCCAACAGGTCTGGCAGGACCTGTTTTTATCATTCCCTTTCCACGGGCCAGGATGGAGTTTACAAGTATTCGGTTTTCAACAAAGAACGAGTAATTCATTAAATTACTGTAAATGGCTGTAATTTCATTAGAAGTCCCATTTGCACAGTGGCTGGCAGCTTTCCTGAGTGGCGTGAGGAACACTACTGCCCTGAACAGCACCTAATGTGTCCAGAAGAGTTGATGACACTGCCCAAGTTCTCCTTGTAAGGACTGAAACTATCTAGCTGATGTGGTACTCAGCTTTTTCCTATACTTTATCCGATAGGCCAGAATGTTTGCAACATACGTAGTTGCTGCAGGACTTCAGTACGGCATGGAGGGAGGAATCTTACACACATTTTTTAAGGTATGACTTTTCATTATATGGATTTTTTTGGTAAATATTTTACAAGACTAGGGGCATAACTTGAGGGGAGAGCTCTTGCCTGGCCTTCCTCCTAGCATAAATAATAAATAAATCAGCCAGGTGTGTGGCAGCACCCCTGCAATCCCAGCACTCCGGAGGCTGAGGCAGGAGGGTTGCCTCCGATTCACGCCTCAGCCTGCCGATTGCTGGACCACAGGCATGTCACTTCAACGTTTGTGTTCACTGTCCTTTTATCTCCCCTCTCCCCTCTCCTGTCATTTTGGGTCTAAGGAGGTCCCCCCAAAAAGGAGAAGGGGGCCTCCCTACTCCATTGTAGGTTCTTGACCTATGGAAGAAAGAATTGCAGGACCCGTGGTGAGGCAGGTTGATGAGCAGGAACGAATACCTACAGGAACAAAAGAGCAGGGCAATTGATAGGGGAGGGACCCTGGGGCTGTGGTTGGGGGCTTGTGTAGACTTGGGGGTCCCCTCACAGATGAGTACGTATCCATCACGTACTCAGCACCTGCTTCCTCCAGGCCACCGGATTCATGACTTGAGCCTCCCCATTCATCTTCCATGATGCATTGCGCCTTGAGGCCCTGGATGTACAAACTCAATCCTGTCCCCCACCCCCATCCTGCCCCCCCCCCCCCCGCCCGGGGCCTCCCCGTGGGCTGACTCTGCCCTCAAGACCTAAGAATTTAGCATGAGATGTCTGGGAGGAGAATAAACAGGGCCCAGGGTGGAAAAGGCACTGCTGCCTTGGGCAACCTGGATTATGTCTCGAGGCTGCAATTTTCTGAAAAGTACAAATTTTTAAATTATAATTTCCTGATCTCCTTCCTAACCCATCTTTGTTTCAGTCCTACCTCACCTTTCCCCTCTATGAATAACCACTCTACATTCACAGCAGATTTTTTTAGCTCCCTTCCACGAAGCTGGTTCGCTTCGCTGCCGTCCTGCCCGGGACTCTGTCTCCCCCAGTGCGATCCTCGGGACTGATCCAGAAGCATCCGCGGACGTCTCGGCAGGCACCTCCCTTGCCTGGCTGCTGTGTGATGCGAGCTGCTCCCTGTCGTGCAGGACCGCGATGACCGCTTTGGCTTTTCCTTTCTTTTAGCTTGCTTGGCTGGGCGAGGTCCCCGCGTTACCTGTTTTTGGAGATGGAACAAATATCATTCCAACAATTCATGTTCTTGACCTGGCGGGGTGAGCATTGTCCCAGAAACATGGCCCTTCTGGGTGCTTCGTCAGCCTGTGCATTTTTTAATTAATTAATTAATTTATTTTTTTGAGACAAGGTCTCATTGTGTTAGTTCAGGGTGGCCTTGAACTCGCTGTGTGACCCAGGCTCACCTCGAGCTCGCGACGACCCTCCTGCCTCAGCCTCCAAGCGCTGGGATTAAGGCATGTGCCACCTTGCCCTCACACACCTACGTGTAAACTGACGCTTATCAACCATCTCCTCAGTGCTGCGTCCCGCACGCACGCACGCACGCACGCACGCACGTACGTCGTTGCGTTTGCTCCTCCCCACAACCCCTTGCGGTGGCACTGGCTGTCCTGAGAGAATCTCCGCTTCACACACGAGGAAGCTGCTCGCCTAAACGCTGCACGGTTTCTTGACGTTTTCTTTTTGTTTTGCTGGGGCCAGAGGTGGAACCCAAGGCCTCCCAGGTGCTAGGCAAGTGCTCTACCACTGAGCTACACTGCCAGCCCCAAAGCTAAGGGCAAGATCAAGTCGTCTCTTAGAAACTTTGCTGGCAAAGCAGTGATTCCAGGAAAGCGGAGCTTGGTATGAACAACCTTCGAGGGGGCCACAGTTACTTGGTCCTTTGTCCCAGATGAGGCTGTGGTGTCAGCCCCTCAGACCAGAGTCCAGAAATCAGATAGCAGAGGGAGATCCTCCCTGTCCCTGCCCGTAGATAAAGCTGTGGTAGTGTAAAATTACAACCCTGTCTTTTAGGAAGTGGGGAAACCTTGGGTGACCACGGGCTCACGTTGCCCCAAGGCTGCCGTCTGCTTGTGCCTCACAGGCTGGGTGCGCTATGCTGTTTGGCCGTGGAGCAGAGAGGCATCAGTCAATACAATCGGGAGCTACGTGGTGGGGTATGAGATGGGCCTCAGCGACAAAGCAGCACATGAGGTTGCTCTAGGGCACCTGATGTCATCCTGTAACCTTTGCTTTTAGCTTCTGGCTCAGGGCAGGCTGGGGTTGGCCAGGCCTAACTGCATTCCAGGAGGTTTGCGTAAATAATAAATTGTAAATGGTCATGGCAGTACTGGGCCAGATACAGAAGTGAAAAGTAAAGGGCCTGAGGTAGGCAGAGGTCACTTGGGCGCTGCCGGCCAACGTTGGTACTGTTCACCATCACGTGCCCAGCTGAGGCCCACGCAGCCTGCGGGGCTGCAACATCCGGCTGGCTCCTTTGGAGAAGCCCAATGTTGTAGGTGGCCCATGGGGTGGCAGGCACAGAGCAACCTAGCCCTGCTCCCAAGCCACAGAGCCAGGTCCCTGAGTTCGCCTGGGTCCGCAGCTTGAGTTCCTGGGGCTTCGCTTGCCTGCTGCAGGTGAGGCCTCGGGAGGAAGCTGACATGCACTTCCCAAGGCGCTGGCTTCCGCCACGCACTCCTGCCCTCACACAGGGCCCACTGATCATCACAGCAGATGCATTTACCAGTTCACCCAGATAAAGCTCAGATGGAGGCCCTGTGAGACACCCTGAAGGCCCCTAAGCAAATGGTTACTATGGTTATTAAGGATGGATGTTTTACATCAAATAAGTTTTGGACCACATCAAAGTCAGTCTCCTTCAACCAACACTAACTGCGGGGATGAAAGGTCCAAATGTGTCCTGCTAGCCAGATCTGGAGGTGCATACTCATAATCCCCACACTCAGGAGGCTGAGGCAAGAGGATTACTGTTCATTCCAAGCCTGCCTCAGCTACGTGGTAAGTTCAAGGCCAGCCTGAGCTACACAGAGAGACTCTGTCTCAAAAAGACAACAAAATAAGTGTGCCTCTTTTTTTGCAGAAACTTTACCTTATTTTATCAGGCTTTGAAGATGTAAAGGAGTCTTACATTCTTAAAATAAAAAGATTAGCTTTAGTCCCAGTAAAGTTAGTGAACAATTTCCCGTTACAGAAAGAATTAGGACCCTGGTTTCCAGTAATGTTTTTTCTTCCTATGGGTTTCTTTGAAAATTGTCAAATATTTAAGAAAGAAGCTGAAAGTTAATGTGCTTAGAAAAAATAGCATAAAATTTCTGGGGATACAGCTCAGCAGCACAGCACATGCCCAGCGAGCATGAGGTCATGAGTTTGGAAAACAAAAAAATAAATAAGTAAATGCAGTAGCTAGGCCTGGTGTACCTGAGGCCATGGGTTACTCGTTAGCACCACCAAAAATCAATGAATTAAAATCGTGACATGAACATCGATTATTACCATCTTCTTTAACTGTGCTAGGAGTGGCCCTCGGAGCCTCCCGCTCTAGGGCAGCGCCCTCTCACTGAGCCTGGTTTGGCGGGGAGTTGGGTCACAATGTGGCAGGCAGTGCCCAAGAACTCAGTCGGGATGGGGGGCCGGTGACCTCCGCCAGCTCCTGTTTTCCCAGGTGCTCTTCAGCCTGATAACCAGTCACTTGACTCCTCAACACCTCCTTATCTTAGAAGGCTGATTAGTAATCCCCTCCCTGATCTTATTGATGATTAAGTGAGATAACGTCAAAAGACCCAACACCAGCTGGGATGACCAAGGCAGGAGGATTGCTGCGACTCTGAAGTCAGCCTGGGCTGTGAGACTCTGTCACAAATAGATGGGTGTGGATGGATAGATGACAGACAGATAGCAAAGCCCCGTGCCTGCTCCACAGGGCTGGATGGTGGGGAGAGTGATCTATCACCTCTCTTTCGCTGCTTCTGCAGAGTGATACAAAACATCATAGACCACGTGCCGAAGCACCACTACCTGGTCGCTGTGGATGAGTCCGCTAACACCTTAGAAGACATGGTCAAGGTACGGTGGCCCATTGCAGCCCATTCTTGGGTGGCACAGTGTAAATAGCTTACCTCAGGACTCTAGTTACGGAATTCCTGTGCTAATCAAGACGGACACTCTAAAGCAGATGTCCTGCCAGCTCACACTACCTGTTGCCCTTTCTCCAGGACCCACATGGAGAAATAAGGCCACTCTAGGGCTTGGGTGACCCCTCAGACGCACAAGGGGTAGGCTGGACAGGGTGGGTTTGAAAAATCCCACCCTGAAAACAGTTTAAGGGTTTTAAAAAAATATTACAGTAAAAAGCACATTGCAATCCTCCCCCTTGCTTCATACAGACTTGTCCCTTCCCTCTTGCTGCTTTCTGATGCATCTCTGGAGTGCTCTTTCATGAGTGCCTTCAGTTGCACTGTCAAGGCTGCCCTAACGTCCTCAACTGATTCTAAACATTGACCATTCGTGGGCATGTTGACTTTGGGGGAGAGCCAGAAGTCAACATGGGGACAGATCCCGTGAAAAGGGAGCACAAGGACACACAGTGATGTTTTCACAGTGATGCCTTTCTGTTGGATGGTGCCCAGCAGCCGTACTCACTATATTTTTTATCACACCTCCTAAAGATGCTCACAAAAGAGGACTTCCAGAGCTGCTTCATTTTTTAATTTTTATTTATTTATTTATTTTGTATTTTAGGGAAGG